TGGTGAAGTAAAAAAGTATTTAAGAATTAATACCAAGTATTCATAAAGTTTTTAATATTATGGAGGACGATGCACTTCCCAACTCCTTCCATGAGACCAGTAAATAGAGTTCGTTTGGAGATTACTGCTGTCTTAAGAATATTTTCACTTCATGAACATGGGATGCAGCAAAGACAGTGCTCAGGGACTTACAGCAGTAAATACCAGTAAATAGTGAAAAAAAAGATCTCAGGTCAGTACCCTAAATTTATGTTAAGGAACTAGAAAAACAGGTGCAAATTAAACTCAAAGCTAGTGGAAGGAAGAAAATAATAAAGATATAAATGAAGATAAATGAAATAGAGAAAAGAAAAACAACACACAGACTCAACAAAGGGAAAAATTGGTTCTCTGAAAGGATCAACAAAATTTTAAATCTTTAGCTAGACTAACAACAAAAATAACCCAAATAACTAAAATCAGAAATGAAAGTGGGGATGTTACCACTAAGCTTACAGAAATAAAAGGATTATAAGAGAACAGCATGAACAATTATATGCCAACAAATTAGACATTCTAGATCAAAGGACAAATTTCTACAAATTACCAAACAAACAAACAAAAACATACAAACCATAACCTCAAGAAGACAAAGAAAATCCCAGCAGACCTATCACAAGTAAAAAGAGTGAAGCAGTAATCAAACCCCCCCAAAAAGAAAACTCCAGACCACTGTCATGATGAATTCTACCGAAACTTAAAGAAGAATTAACATCAATTCTTCAAACTCTACCAAGAAATAGAGGATGAGGGAACACTTCCTCATTCTATGAAGACAATATTACTAATACCAAAGCTAGATAAAGATATCACAAGAAAAGAAAATACAGTTGACCCTTAAACAACACAGATTTGAACTGTTTGGGTCCACTTATATATGGATTTGTTTTTTCAATTAGTACATACTACAGTACTGCATGATCTGAGATTGGTTGAATCTACGGATACAGAATCACAAACATGGAATGCCAACTATCAAGTTACACTCAGATTTTCAATTTCCCTAGGGGGTCAGTAGCATTAACCCCTGCATTGTTCAAGGGTCAACTATGCAGATCAGTATCTTTCATGAATATAGGTACAAACATCCTCAACAAAATACTGGCAAACTGAATCTAATAGCACATTAAAAAGATTATACATCATGCAGGTCTTATGCCAGAAAGGCAAGGATTTATGTCAAGAAGGCAAAGGTGGTTCAAAACAAGAAAATCAATCATTCAACATTTTACTGGATATTCCAGCTAAAGTCAATTAGACCAGAAGAAGAAATAACATGTATTGGAAAGGAAGAAGTAAAACTATCTCTATTTGCAGATGGCATGATCCTACATATAGAAAATCCCAATGAATCCACAGAAAAGCTATTAGAGTTAGAAACCAAATTCAGCCAAGTTGCAGGCAACAAGATAAACAGTAAAAACTCAGTTTTTCTTTGCACCAGCATTGAGCAACATGAAAAGAAAACTGAGAAAATAGTTTCATTTACAGCAGCATCCAAAAGAGTAACTAAGAATACATTTAAGCCAGAAAGAGAAAGAGAAATACCATATGATATCACTTATATGTGGAATCTCAAAAAGAGAACACAAATGAACTTACCTACAAAACAGAAACAGACTCACAGACAGAGAGAAAAAACTTATGGTGACCAGAGGGTAAAGGTGGTGAGAAGGGATAAATATGTAATTCGAAAATTGCACCTCTTGGGGAGTGATGGAAATGTGAGCTATCCTGATTGTTGTAGTGGTTTCATGAGGGTATATATACATCTATCAAAATTCATCAAATTGTAATATTTGAAATGTGTAGTTTACTGTATAGGAACCATACCACAATAAAGGTGTTAAAAAAATACGTATGACCAAGAAGTTGAAAGACTTGTATATGGGAAACTAAAAACATTGCTAAAATT